CCCACCTACTGGATGAAAGGGGAAGCAGGAAAGATACTGAACTCCAACAAAAACTATCCATTAATTTTCCTTCAAATTTTTTTTCTCTTTTCTCACTCTCTCTTCTCCCACCCTCACATCCCCAACACTTGTGAAACCAAGTACTTTTCATGAATTAGTCTACTGAGGTCTGGGATGTCTGAATAGTATATTGCAGTTGTGTTGTATATTCTTTTTTATTTTTACATTTTTTATTTTTCTTAATTTTTATGATTGTTTTTTTTTTACTGTCTTATTGTCTTCCCACTTACTTGTCTCCCTCAAATCACTTTCTCTCTTTTCTCCTGCTACAAGCCAACTTCTTTAGATTCCTCTTTCACACTTCCTAGGATCTAATAACTCTATATCCTCACCTTCTACCTCCTTAACATCTCATCTGACACCCCACCTCCAGTTCTCTCTTTGTCCACTATCAGAAACTGTAGACCTTTTTGCAAACCTACTGTTTATATTGTAGATAATAATTGAATTCACTATTTCTGTATATTCTGACAAAACCATAAATGTCTTAACAGCAGTTATTTGGCTTAAGATTCTATATTGTTTGTATTAGGATCTGTTAACATTGTTCGCCCCCTTAAAGGAGAGTTATTCGACCCCTGCAGGGATGCTATAAGCCCATAGGGTAAAACTGTAACACCTTGGATCCGCAGGAGAGAGCAAATACAGGCAGCAAAAGAATTATTAGAATAAAGGAAGGCATAGAGTTACAAACCAAAGGAATAATCTATCTATTCAATGAATAATATCAGAAAAAAGACCCAAATTAATACAATTAGAGATGAAAAAGGAGAAATCACCACAGACATCACAAAAATCCATCAGGTTATTAGTTACTATTTTGAAAACTTATACTCTAATAAATTGGAAAATCTAGAAGAAATGTGTTCATTTGATCTGCCGAATTGGATCAAGGGTTCACACAAAACCTAAGCAGACCAGTAACTTGAAATGATATAGAAGCAGTAATAAAAAGCCTTCCAATAAAGAAAAGCCCCAGACCAGAAGATTCTCAGCTGAATTCTACCAGACCTTTAAAGAACTAATGCCAATACTCCTCAAACATTTCATTAAATAGAAAAGGATGGAACACTTCCAAATTCATTCTATGAAGCCAGTATCACACTCATACATTGGTGTCCAGATAAGGACACATCAAGGATAGAAAACTACAGACCAATATCCCTGATGAACTTAGATATCAAAATGCCAAGTATGACAAACCTGTAGTCGTGGCTCTATTCTCGTTGTTTTGAGGATCCTAAGCCTCATTTGTAGCAGTAAGCAAATCAAGCATTATGCTAAATGAATGAAACATGAAGCTGATGTTTGTTGCAGAAGCATCTGGACTTTGAGAGGAATTGTGCGCCAGGCCCATTTCTGTGTATTTGCATCCAACTGTAATGAGCCTATTTATGTCAAATTGGTGGAGTCCCTTTGTGCTGAACACCAAATCAATCTAATTAAGGTCAATGACAACAAAAAACTAGGAGAATGGGTAGGCCTCTATAAAATTAACCTAGAGGGCAAGCCCCGTAAAGTGGTTGGTTGCAGTTGTGTAGTTGTTAAGGATTATGGCAAAGAATCTCAGGCCAAGAATGTCATCGAAGAGTACTTCAAATACACCTGGAGACTGAACAATATGTTACTGAATGAACATTGGGTTGCAAAAGACATCAGGAGGAGATTTAAAAATTCTTAGAGGTAAATGAGAACACAGACACAACATATCGAAATCTCTGGGACTCTGTGAAGGCAGTACTAAGAGGAAAGTTCATTGCATGGAGTTCATTCCTTAAAAGAATAAAAAGTCAACAAATAAATGACCTAACAGTACATCTCAAAGCCCTAGAAAAAGAACAAATAAACTCCAAAAACAGTAGAAGGCAGGAAATAATTAAAATTAGAGATGAAATCAAAACAAAAGAAGCAATTTAAAATATTGACAAAATTAAAAGTTGGTTCTTTGAAAAAATAAAGTTGACAAACCCTTACCATGCTAACAAAGGGAAAAAGAGAGAAAACTCAAATTACTAACATATGTAATAAAAAAGGTAATATCACAACAGACACTAAAGAAATACAGAGGATAATTAGAAACTACTTTGAAAACTTGTACTCCAATAAAATAGAAGATATTAAAGGCATCCACAAATTTCTTAAATCATATGATTTGCCCAAATTGAATCAGAATGATATATACAATTTAAACAGACCAATATCAATCAATGAAATAGAAGACACCATCAGAAGCCTACCAACCAAGAAAAGCTCAGGACAAGATATATACATAGCAGAGTTCTACAAAACTTTTTAAATAAGAACTAATACCAATACTCTTCAATTTATTCCATGAAATATAAAAAGAGGGAGCACTTCCAAACTCATTCTATGAGGCCAATATCACCCTGATTCCAAAACCAGACAAAGATACATCAAAGAAAGAAAACTTCAGAACAATATCTCTAATGAACATAGATGCAAAAATTCTCAATAAAATTCTGGCAAATCAAATACAGAAACATATCCAAAAGATACAGAACCATGATCAAGTGGGATTCATCCCAGGGATGCAAGGTTGGTTCAACATATGGAAATCAATAAATGCAATTCATCACATCAATAGACTCAAAGATAAGAATCATATGATCATCTTAATAGATGCAGAAAAGCTTTCAACAAAATACAGCACCCCTTCATGTTGAAAACACTAGAAAAATGAGGGATAAAAGGAACATATCTCAATACTGTAAAGGCTATCTACGCTAAGCCCCAGACCAACATCATTCTAAATGGAGAAAAATTGAAAGAATTCCCTAAAAAGTGGAACAAGACAGGGATGTCCTCTTTCACCACTTCTACTCAACATAGTTATTGAAACACTGGCCAGAGCAATTAGACAGACAAAAAAAATTAAGGGATATGCATAGAAAAAGAAGAACTTAAACTAGCACTAATTTCTGACAATATGATTCTATATCTTGAAGACCCTAAAAATGCCACCAGCAAACTTCTAGAACTAGTAAATGAACTCAGCAAAGTAGCAGGATATAAAATCAACACCCATAAATCAAAGGCATTTCTGTACATCAGTGACAAATCCTCTGAAATGGAAATGATGAAAATTATCCCATTTATAATAGCCTCAGAAATAAAAATACTTGGGAATCAACTTAATGAAAGAGGTGACAGATACAATGAAATATACAATGAAAACTACAGAACCCTAAAGAAAAAAATCAAAGAAGACCTTAGAAAATGGGAAGATCTACCTTGCTCTTGGGTAGGCAGAATTAATATTATCAAAATGACCAGACTACCAAAAGCACTATACAGATTTAATGAAATCATGATCAAAATCCCAAAGGCATTCCTCATAGAAATAACAATCATGAAATTCATCTGGAAAAATAAGAGACCCAGAATAGCTAAAGCAATCCTTAGCAGGAAGTGTGAAGCAGGTGGCATCACTATACCAGACCTTAAACTATACACAGAGCAATAGTAACAAAAACAGCATGGTATTGGCACCAAAATAGACTAGCAGACCAATGGTACAGAATAGAGGACACAGAGACTAACCTACAAAATTACAATTATCTTAAGTTAGACAAAGGTACCAAAACATATATTGGAGAAAAGATAGTCTCTTCAACAAATAGTGCTGGGAAAATTGGAAATCCATATGCAACAAAATGAAATTAAACCCCTATCTCTCACCATTCACAAAAATAAACTCAAAGGGGATCAAGAGCCTAAGAATAAAACCAGAGACCCTGCATCTAATAGAAGAAAAGGTAGGCCCTAATCTTCATCATATTGGATTACACCACAACTTCCTTAATAAGACACCTATGGCACGAGAATTAAAATCAAGTATCAATAAATGGGATGGATTCAAGCTAAAATGTTTCTTCTCAGCAAAAGAAATAAGCAATGAGGTGAATAGACAGCATACATCTTCAGGGAAAATTTTTACCCTGCACACATCAGATACAGCACTAATCTCTAGGGTATATAAGGAACTCAAAAAGTGAAACACCAAAAAAAAAACAAATAACCCAATCAGTAAATGGGCCAAGGACCTGAACTGACACTTCTCTGAAGACAATATACAATCAGTCAGCAAATACATGAAAAAATGTTCATCATCGCTAGCAATTACAGAAATGCAAATCAAAACTACTCTAAGATTTCATTTTACTCCTGTCAGAATGGGCAGCTATTATGAAGACAAACAACAATAAGTGTTGGCAAAGATGTGGGGGAAAAGTACACTCATACATTGCTGGTGGGACTGCAAATTGGTACAGCCACTATGGAAAGGAGTATGTAGATTCCTTGGAAAACTGGGAATGGAACCACAATTTGACCCAGCTATCCCTCTCCTTGGTTTATACCCAAAGGACTTAAAAACAGCATACTACAGGGACACAGCCACATCAATGTTTATAGCAGCACAATTCACAATAGCTAAACTGTGGAACCAACCTAGATGTCCTTCAGTAGACGAATGGATTTTTAAAAACGTGGCATATTATCATAATGGAATATTACTCAGCAATAAAAGAGAATAAAATCATGGCATTGCAGGTAAATGGATGGCATTGGAAAAGATAATGCTCAGTGAAGTTAGCCAATCCCCCCCAAAAAAAATGCCAAATTTTTTCTCTGGTATAAGGAGTCTGATTCATAATGGGGTAGGGAAGGGGAGCATGGGAGGAATAGAAAAACTCTGGATAGGGCAGAGAGTTGGGAGGGGAAGGGAGGGGCAGGGTGTTGGAAATGATGGTGGAATGTGATGAAAATCATTATCCAAAGTACATGTATAAAGATATGAATTGGTGTGAATATACTTTATATACAACCACAGATATGAAAAAAGTACTCTCTATATATAATATAAATTGTAATACATTCTGGTGTCATATATTTTAAAAATCAATTAGAAAAAAGAATACCTGATCATTCTGATTTTCAAGTCTTGGAGAAAAGCTGGGAATTATTGGGCGGACTGCAGCTAGTTCTTGGAGTTTTGTATCAATTTCAGCAAGCTGCTGATGCTGGGTGGCTGCAAATGTGTATCCTTCTCCTGGAACCAGCCAACCAGACTGATCACCCTAAAATGAAACAAGGGTTACCAGGTCATATCCATACTACATTTTCCAAAACATACCTTTCAGACTGCTTTATCAAAGCCCAGGACTTCACAAAACAAACAAAAGCAAAACAAAAAACACAGAATTAATATTAGGATGGTAAAAGAAAAAATGAAATAGTTTACAGTTTCATAATCTGCCAACTCTGTGTAAAGTATCTTCTTACATTATGTGGGAATTTCTCCTATAGAATAAATCTCTTAGTCTGGTTATCATAATATTTTCATTTCTCTACTTTAGAAAAAGGTTTTGTGATGTGTTGAATAGGAAGAAATCAGTAACTACCCTAAAGGAAAACACTATCAAAGGAGAAACAAAGTCAAGTAAAAAAACAAAACAAAATTACTGGGAATACAAACAATATTTCAATAATAACCCTGAATATTAATGGCCTAAACTCATCAGTTAAAAGACACAGACTGGCAGATTGGATTAAAAAGAAGACCCAACAATATGCTGCCTTCAAGAGACTCATCTTATTGGAAAAGACATCTACAGACTGAAGGTGAAAGGATAGGAACAAACATAACACTCACATGGACTGTGGAAACAAGCAGGGGTTCCCATTCTCATATCAGATAAAAGTAGACTTCAAACCAAAGTTAGTCAGAAAGGATAAAGAAGAACATTATGTACTGCTTAAGGGAATCATATATTAACTAGACATAACAATCATAAATATTTATGTCCCAAACAATGGAGCATCTACATACATTAAACAAACTCTTCTCAGTTCAAGAGTCAAATAGACTACAACACAATAATACTGGGTGACTTTAACACATCTCTTCCCCACTGCACAGATCTTCTAAACAAAAAATAAACAAAGAAATTATAGAACTCAATAATACCACCAATAATTTAGACTTAACAGACATACATAAATATTCCATCCATCAATGAGTGAAGACACTTTTTTCTAAGAAGCACATGGATCCTTCCCTAAAATAGACCATATGGCAAATACAAAAATATAGTGATAGTATCCTGCATTCTACCAGACCATAATGGAATAAAATTAAAAATCAATGATAAAATAAAAAATAAAAGCTATTCCAACACCTGTAGATTAATAATACATTATTAAAATATGCATGGATAGCAGAAGACATCAGGGAGGAGATAAAAAATCTTAGAAGTAAATGATAATTTTGATACAACAGACCAAAATCTCTGGGACTAAAGGCATTGCTAAGAGGAAAGTTCATTGCATTGAACTCATTCATTAAAAGAAGTAAAAATCAACAAATAAATAACCTGACATTACATCTCAAATCCCTAGAGAAAGAAGAAAAATCAATATCAAAAGTAGTAGAAGACAGAAAATAATTAAAATAAGGGCTGAAATCAATGAAATTGAAACAAAAGAAATAATTGAAAAAAATTGATAAAACAAAAAGCTGGTTCTTTGAAAAAATTAATAAAATTGATAAACCCTTAACCACCCTAACAAAAAGAAGTAAAAACTCAAATTACTAAAATTTGTGATGAAAAAGGAAATATAATATTTCAGATACCACTGAAATACTGAAGATAACTAGAAACTATTTTGAAAATTTATACTCCAATAAAATAGAAAATATTGAAGACACCAGAAAATTTCTAGAGAAATAGGAGCTTCCCAAACTGAATCAGGAGGATATACACAATTTAAACAGATAAATATCAAGCATGAATAAAAGATGCCATCAAAAGCCTACCAACTAAGAAAAGCCAAAGACCAGACAGGTTATCAGACAAGTTCTATAAGACCTACAAAAAAGAAATCAATACCAATACTCCTCAAGTTATTTCATGAAATAGAAAAGAGGGAACCTTTCCAAACTCATTCTATGAAGTGAGTGTCACCTTGAAACCTAAGCCAGACAAAGACATATCAAGGAAAGAAAGCTTCAGACCAATATCCCTGATGAACATAGATGCAAAAATTTTCAATAAAATTCTGGCAAATTGCATACAAAAACATATTTAAAAGATAGTGCACCATGATCAAATGGTGTTCATTTCAGGGATGCTAGGTTGGTTCAACATACAGAGTTCAAAAAACATAATTCATCACATCAATAGATTAAAGATAAGAATCATATGGTCATCTCAATATATGCAGAAAAAGAAATTGATAAAATACAACACCCTTTCATGGTCAGAACACTAGAAAAAATAGGGATAGAAGGAACATATCTCAACATTGTGAAAGCTATCTATGCTAAGCCCAAGGCCAACATTATTCTAAATGGAGAAAAATTGGAGGCATTCCCTCTAAGAACTGAAACAAGACAGGGATGCCCTCTTCCACCACTCCTATTCAACATAGTCCTTGAAACTCTAGCCAGAGCAATTAGACAGATGAAAGAAATTAAAAGGATATAAATAGGAAAAGAAGAACTCAAACTTTCACTATTTGCCAACAACATGATTCTATACTTACAGGATCCAAAAAACTCCCCCAGGTGCATCCTGCCCTACTAGTCACAGTTATCACCACACATGCACTGCTTTTGTACCTAAAGCAAAATCCATCCTCTGAACCTATGGGTCTTAGGCTGGATTACATAGATCCAGAACCTGAGACAGGAAATCTTGCTTGAGTGATTTATCAGAGAAATGTCTTTGGGAATAGGGGCATGAGGCAAACAGTCTGGGACAAGGGCACAAAGCAAGCTAAAGACCAGCGTGGATCTGATCTCTGGAGAAGCACTACAAAGCTAATCCTATTTTGAGGTGAGGGATCTGAGGTAGGCAAGGCTACTTGGCTCCCATTTGGCTCCAGCTAATTCTCCAAGGAAGGGGACAGGTGTGTGCCCTGGCACAAGGCTAGGGAATGGACACACAGACAAGTTTTAGATAAAGGGGATCTGGAAAGAGTGCCAGCATTTGCTCCACCATGTCTCTATTCAACACAGGAGAATAAAAAACAGCAGGGCTAGTTGTGTCAAGGAACACAGGAGGGTGTATTTCTTTGTAGAAGTAAAGAATATTCCTACGATATTACTATATAAACACTGGGCCACTGCACTCTTTCTGGGACCTTCTGGGACACTATAAATACCTGCACTTGCCCCCTACATTACATATTTCCCCTTTTCAGCTCAGTTTTTTGCCCCCCAGGGAATTAATTGGTCGAGTTTAACTGGGAAGGAGCAGGATGGTATTCTTTAGGATTACTGAAAACTATAGTGAAACACCATGTATCCAATGTGGGGATAATAAAAAAGGATAGAGAGAAATACATTCTTATGTCATCAGTGTCTAAGCCCATCTCATCACAGGCGGTGGTTACTATCGTGATAATCAATGTGTGGTCCTCTAATAAAGACTTAAAATGATCTTAAAGAATTAATAATAAATTGACCAAAAATGAATTTGAAAACATGTATAAAATAGGAATTTTTAAAGTCAGAGAATACTGTATCATAACCTAAAAAAATATACTGTATAAGTCATTGACTATGAGTTTCCATACCTCAGAACTGGACAGTCCCGAATCTCTATCATCTAAGTCCTTCAAAAGTTCAGCCAGTCTTTGCTTCTCTCTGTCAATCATAACCACTGGGTTTCTTGAATTCTTAGCCAACTACAGAATTCATTAATGAGAAACATTAAATATTCAAAGCAATTCATAATTCAGGAAAATAAAAAAGTGGCAGAGGCATCCACAGAATAGAAACACCAAGACATATGTTGAGAGACATATGTTAGACCCTAACTCTAACCCTAACCCTAATTTTATATTGCTAGGTAATTTTATTTTATGACAAACACTTTTGTGGGGCCACTTCCAAACAAAAATATTTCCACTATAAACAGGCCCTTTTGTTACTAAGAGAGCATTTTCAAATCTCTCCTTGTAAAATGTGCATACACACATGCAAAAATATATTTGCTGAGACATTTGGAAGGACTCTTCCTTTTTTCCATATTTTTACTGATGCATTATTATTGTATATGTTGGTGGGATTCCTCTTCTTGACATTTCCTTATAGAAGATATTTACTAAATGAAACTGAAAGTTTCAAGCATAAATATTATAAGGAATTTAAATAAATATTCAGTTACCATTATTAAAAGGGGGGAAATGTAATCTATGGTGGAGCTGTGCCAGCCAGAACTTGAATATGGGAGAAATTCTAAAGCTCTTAGAAAACTAAGCAATAAATAATATAGAATGAGCCAGCACAAAGAGACAGCTCAAGCTGGATAAGGTTTCCTAAAGATCACTTGAACATGGAGTACAAAAAAATTTAGAGTCCCAAAGATCAGTCCTGGCAGTAGCAGGTTGACTCATGAATCTTGTCTGCCTGAATATGACATGTAAATGGTGGGAAAAGCATCAGACTGAACAGTAGGAATTACTTACTTTCTCTTCCTAAGACTTCACTCTCACCAATGCAGCCTTCTAGTAACTAGTTGCTCAAAGGCTGTACTATGAGCCTTCTTGTGCCCCATTTACATTTCTTATTATAAATTAATTAATTAGTATTCTGGTCTAATACAGGAGTTCCTGTATCCTTGGTTAGTCTGAGTCTGTCTTATGAACAAATTTGCTACGGAACTTGCAAATTCAAGGAATAACCCCTGAAGCAGGGAGCTTTATCAAGGACAGTGACCAAGAGGCTCAGTGGGAGGCAGACAACTAGTGGGCTTCTCCAGTCTACCCTTGCTGCTCTGCCAGAAAGAAGCATCTTCATTCCAAGTTCTAAATGCACTAGCTACATAATCCATCTCATTACTTTTAAAAACCAAGTTTACTAATACACAATAGAATATCTAGGAAACATCATCCAAAAATATTATATAAATAAATATGTTTCAAATTGTAGGAACCAGACTTTTCTAGGTGGTGAAATAAATGCCAGTTGCAGCTAGCATTTTTTTAAAGGGATAGGATAGGTTAGGATAGGATAGGATAGGATAGGATAGGATAGGATAGGATAGGATAGGATAGGATGTAATAGAAAACAGTGAAGGTAAGTATTCATTCAGAAAACTTTTCTTTCAGTTGTTATATGTTCTGGTTCAATTATGAACACATTTAACATGGTCAGAAATATTTAAAGATCCTAAACATTCTACCATCATTGTTGCAGCTCGTTTAGTCACACATTCTGACTCCTGAATTTCTAAGTACATACCTCAATGTTTCGCTTAACAAAATCGTGGTTGTGTTTACCCCTGAGCTCAAATTTTTCTGTATTTGAGAAAGGTTTCTTTTCTGCTTTGATCAATGACTCATTTCTTTCCACATCATAGGTAAAATCTAATATTAAAAAAGTTCAAAATGTTTTCATGATTACAATTATATGTTACACTAAAAATTCACTTTAAGCATATATTTAAATTATAAGAAAGCACAGACAGAAAAACTACCTTCTAAATTTCAGATCCAGATATATATATATATATATAATTTTTTCTTAAAAAGACAAATGTGATACTTAAGTTTAAATGAACTTCTCATTTCTTGTATTATTATCATGTATCAACCTTCTTGATATTGATTCCTTGGGAATGATGGGAAATATGAACAGAACTATTTCAGAGTCACGCATGTGAAAAAGAAATCTCTGGTATTATGAGAATTTTTAAAATATATATTCTATTTTTGTCTTGATGTGAAACAAAACTTCCCCTAAATATTAACTAGAGTCATCTCCAATTATTCTATTAATTTGCCATCGCTCCTTCAAAACAATAAATCTTTGGTTCAAGCCTTTTTTTTTTTCTCCCTCTTGTGGGATGGTGGTATCAGAGATTGGACCCAGGGACACTCTACCAATGAGCTATATCACCAACACTTTTTATTTTTTATTCTGAGACAGGGTCTTGCTAAGTTGCCCAGGCTGACCTAGAACTTGTAATCCTCCTGCCTCAGCCTCTTGAGTCACTGGTATTACAAGCATGAACCACTGTGCCCAGCTCAAGATGTCTTTTAAGCAAGTTCTGGGGATAAATGTCCTGGATGTTCTTTATTCCATCTGCATAAATCCCTAGAGGCCATCTCAGTTTGTCAGTTTTCCTCAATCTTTGATAAGAACCTTATGTAATCTTCTGAAACATTCAGACCCTGAGTGCTCATAATAAGGGCAGGAAAAATATGTGAACTCTTATCCCCTGTAGAAATAACAATATAAAATCATGTGAACCCTTCAGTATAATTCTAAAAATATGCACAAAAGGAGATCTCCTTAAATGACAAATAAAGCTCACCCCACAAAATAGGACAAATTGCCACATTAAAGTCAAAAAAAAAAAAAGAAAACACCAGTCAGTAGTTCAGTCCAGACTAGGTTTACTCAAAATTTTCCTTGTAAGAGGTACATTAATAAAATTAATAAAAGTCAACAAAATTAATAAAAGGTCACATTAATAAAAATTATCTATTCAACAAACGGCGCTGGCAAAACTGGAAATCCATGTGTAGCAAAATGAAATTAAACCTCTATCTCTCACCCTGCACAAAAATCAACTCAGAGTGGATCAAAGACTTAGGCACCAGAACCCTGCACCTAATAGAAGAAAAATTAGGCCCAAATATTCACCATGTTGGCCTAGCATCTGACTTCCTTAATAAGACTCCTAAAGCACAAGAAGTAAAATCAATAAATAATTAATAACTGGGATGGATTCAAATTAAAAAGCTTCTTCTCAGCAAAGGAAACAATAAAGTGAAGAGAGAGCCTTTGGGAGAAAATCTTTACCACATGTACATTCAATAAAGCATTAATGTCTAGGATACATAAAGTGCCAGGTTTCTGTTCTCGAGACTAAAAGGCTCAGGGGTCACTCCAGTTAAACTGAGCTAACTGGGCTGCACGAAATAACCACTCAAGAAACACAAATACCTTTTTCTTTGGGGTCGCTGTGACGGCTCCTCTGACCTTAAGGGTCCACAGAAAGAGAGAGCAAGAGCACGCGCTGACCCCTTTTATTGAGGAGCAGTTATTTAAATAAGACAAGGGGTCAGGTTTCAGGGGGCTGAGTCTATCTTCATGATGTCCACTGTCAGCAGGTTGACTGACACCTGGTAGGCCACACCCAAGGGCACAGTAAGAGAAGGGGACACACACAAGGCACTTCCATGGAAGATTCTATCCTAAACAGGGCAAGAGATTATATTACAAAGGAGCAGGTGAGTGTAGCTTCACCCATGGGGCTGTAGCAAGACACACCCATGGGGCTGTAGCAAGACACACCCATGCATGAGACACTGACCCTCGAACCCAAAAAGGGTGGGGAAAGCTCTGCCACATTTCTGCAACTGAGCGCTTCAGCACCCAGCCGGGGAGTGTGACCCAGTCATGTGTAAGGTTGGTCTCCCACAATAAAGAACTCAAAAAACTTAATGCCAAAAAAATAATAATAATAACCCAATCAATAAATGGGCTAAGGAACTGAACAGACACTTCACAGAAGAATACAATTGATCAACAAATGTATGAAAAAATGATCAACATCTCTAGCAATTAGAGAAATGCAAATCAAAACTACTCTAAGATTTCATCTCACTCCTGTCAGAATGGCAATCATCAAGAATACAGGCAACAATAAATGTTGAAGAGGATGTGGGGAAAAAGGTACACTCATACATAGCTGGTGAGACTGCAAATTGGTGCAACCATTATGGAGAGCAGTATGTAGATTCCTCAGAAAATTGGGAATGAAACTGCCATTTGACCCAACTATCCCACTCCTCAGTTTATACCTAAAGGACTTAAAATCAGCATACTGCAGTGACACAGCCACATAAATATTTATAGCTGCTCAATTCACAATAGCTAAACTATAGAACAACCTAGGTGTCCCTCAATAAATGAATGGATAAAGAAAATGTGGTATATATACTCAATGGACTATTACTCAGCTTTAAAACAGAGTAAAATTATGGCATTTTCCAGTCAATGTTTGGAGTTGGAGAATATCATCCTAAGCAAAATAAGCCAGTCCCACAAAACCAAAGGCCAAATGTTTGCTCTAATATGTTGATGTTAATTCACAATAAGAAGCGGGGCACTAGGGAAGAATAGCATTAACTTAGATTAGATAGGGGAAAGAGATGGGAGGGAAGAGAAGGAGATGTGGGGATACGAAATACAGTAGAATGAAACAGACATTATTACTATATGTATATACGTGATTACATGATCAGTATGATTCTGCAACATTACACTCAGAAATATGAGAAATTATATCCCATCTATGTATAGTATATCAAACTGCATAAATGCATTCTACTGTCATGTATAACTAATTAAAACAAATTAAAAATTAAAATAAATAAAATAAAAAGAATCAAGGAAAATAGTCAATTGGTGTATTTACATCTGATTATCAAAGATTCAATACAAACTGAACCATTAAGGAATAAATTTTGATGAAAATGGCTAGAAAGAACTAGGAAAAGAGTAAGATTGCTGAATTTCAATTCTTCTCAAACAAAAGTAAATCTGAGTAAAAAAAAAAATGTGTTTTGTTCTAATTTAAAAGTTTCTAGCTGAGTGTGATAGCACATGCCTGGAATCCCAGCTACTCTTGAGGCAAAGGCAAGAGGATCAAAAGTTCAAAACCAGCCTGGCAACTTAATGAGACCCTTTTTCAAAATGAAAACTAAAAAGGATTGGAGATGTAACTCAGTACATGAGGCCCTGGTTTCACCAGTACCACATAAAAGAAAAAAGAAGTTTCTAAATAAATTAACCTATAGATTATAACTGGGTATTATGTATTAGGCAATCATATAATTACTTGTTAAACAAACTACCAGTAGTTTTGAATTACTTTAGGAGAGAGAAGTGACAACCATAGATATAAAATTTATTACTTTTTTCCCATTAATCAAGTAGTCTTATTTGAAATATGAGATAGATATATTTAGTTGAAGTTTCATATACACTTAACATTAAAATAATTCAAATGCAGCCATCTCTATATTTATAATACAGTTTCCTTAAAACATAATAAAACTTTATTATGAAACTCTATTAGAAGTTTCCATAAGACTTCTAATAAACTGCAGGGTAAAAAAAACACTGGATTATCTGTCTCATTAGTGATGTGCTTTTGTCCCCTTTAGTCTGGTGGTGATATAGCAGGCACTGCCATGTTCCCACCTGACCCCAGTCCTTGATGGGTTGGACAAGATGGTTACACAGGGGGGAGGCACCTAAATCCACCTGGTTAGCCCACCTCTTAACTAGGACTTTGGGATTTAGCCTCCCTCTCAATGACTAACCATGGCACATGCCTTTGGAACCCAAAGAAAAGCTGTCTACCACCAAGCTCCTTTCAATTATTTTTTTTCTTGCTTAAGCCAAGTTTCCATTACTTACAGCCTGCTTTTTCATTTTAACTCTTTATTATGTAAAAGTTCAAACATCCAAAAATATAAAAAACAGTATAATGAACTTTCAACAACTAGCTTCAACAAATATTGATTCATAACTGTGTGTCATCCTTAACCCCATCTATTTCTACTCCCCTCTGGATTAAATTACATCAAATCATTTCTTCTATGAGTATTTCTGTATACAGTTAGTATTCTGTTGTGTCAATATCTATGATCATAAAAATTAAAACATACCTTGATTGGCATTTTGCATATGGTTTTCATATTCTTCTGGAGATATCTGAGTGTGAAACACTGGGAAAAAGTTATCTTCATCCTCACGATGAGAAAGATCTACTGATTAAAAAATCACTTGCTCAATACTCACAAAAGTAAAAAAGCGTCTATACAAGTTGTTTAAAAATGAATTAAGCTCTAATATTTTCTCAAATATTCCTGAAACCCTTTAATACACACAAAATTTTTAAACAATGTCAGTGTTGCTTCCAAGTAGAAATGATAATCATCTTTCTACACATGAGACACTGAAAAAAACTATTGGTCAAAGTAGCCAAATAGAATTTCCCTAGAACTTTAATGCAAAAAGGATGTATAAGAAACTGCTAAAATATCACCTACCTCCCCCAAGATAATGTATTCAAATCCCAATGTTCACAAGAAAGACAATATACATAACCAAATAACTTTAATTGTGTTTTTATTTTTTATTTTAGATCCAAGGTAAACATTTCAAGTAGATAGTCAATCATTAAAATACAAAGAGAAAATTTTGGAGACTTTTGGCAGTTAGCCTTCTTGTCTTGTAATTCATTCTCTTGGACTAATCATCCCCATAAAGATAACAGGAAATTTCATTGTTCAACTTTTTTTGTTTTAATATAATTTATCTTTATATTCTCCTATTTGTTGAGAGCCACAGCCAAAGGGGCCCTAGCAAACTTCCAGCTGCCCTTCAAGCTGCCAGCTGATGATTGGCTCACAGTGGCCCCAGCAACATCTAGCTGATTGGCTCCTCTGCRGTCATGTTCATTGGGCTGTTTCCCTGCCCTTCAGACTACGGAACTGCTCATTGGGGGACTTCTTTGGCTCCGCCCATGCGACCTAGCCAATCGGCCTCAAGAGCAGGAGGATTGTGGGAGGTGGTGTGGTTGTGTGGGGGAGAGGCTTGTGGAAGCCGGTGGTGGCAGTTGGGCTCTGAGGGTTTTTCCTGAGGAGCTGTTTTGTTTGGCGTTTGTAGTTTTAAAAATAAAGTTTGTTTCTTTTGACAAGTGGCTCCTGAATTGTGCCCAGCCAGACTGCGGCACCTATTAACTAATTTAAACATTTTATGTTTTCAAGAAACTAACACACGTAGTTTTTTTAAAAAAACTGTACCTTAGTATGACAGAATCTGACAGGTTGTGGCACAGAAATGTTTTTGTTTCAGAAAAGAATTCAAGTCTTAAAGATATTACAGAATCCACCACCTATCTTTGAAAACAAACCTGGTTTAAGCATTATCCATGCAATTAAAAACTGATAAATTCTACTTCGCAAAATTTAGAAATTTTTATGTAAAAAAACATTGTTAGTAGAATGAAAAGGCAAGCCAAGTTTGGGGAAAAATATTTGCAAAATACATATCTGTTAAAAGATTACATCCAAAATACACAAAGAACTCCTAAAAGTCAAAAACAAAAGAACAACCCAATATTTAAAAATGGGCAGCAGATACCTAAAGAAAATATACAGATGGCAAATAAGTGTCTGAAAAGATGTTGACCATTTTTCAGGGATATGCAAATTAAAAAAAACATAGCACTACATACTTATTAGAATGGCTAACTCCCACACACACCAAAATGATAATACCAATTGCTGGAAAAGATGCAAAGAATAGGGAATTTTCATTCATCATCTGTAGGAATATAAAATGGTACAGCCATTTTGGAAGACAAGTTAGGCACTCTCATTCCAAGATAAAGTCTTATCATGTAATCCAGCAATCATGTTCCTACATATTTATCCAGATAAGTTGAAAACATGTATTCACACATAAATCTGCACACAAATATTTATAGCAGGCTTATTCATGGGATTGCCCAAAACTGGAAGCAACCAAAATATCTTTTGATAAGTAAAATGATACACAAACTGTGAGTGGTATATCCATAGAATGAAATATTATTCTGTGACCAGAAAATAGCTACCAAGTCACAAAATGACATGGATGAATCTTAACTACATATTGCTAAGTGAAAGAACAATTCCAATCATAATCAGTTAATTCAGCATTAACTGAAAAGGCAAAATTATAAAGACAGTAAAAAAAATCAGTGGTGGCTAGGGGCTTGTGGAAAGAAGAAGGATTGAACAGGTATTCACACAGGCAATCTTTCACAGTTGTAAAACTATTCTGCATGGTACTTTAATAGTGAATATGTGACATTATACAATTTTGCAAAGCATAAAAAGTGAAACAATAATGTACACCAATTTTCAAAAAAAATCATTTATGAGGTTGAAGAATCCCAGAATGGAATGTTAATGTGACAAAAAAATCTAATTATATTACAAACTATGAAATTGTCTCACTAAAGAGAATAAAAGAAAAAGGTGCCTGCCTAAGTAACTAAAAATTAGTGAAGTCTACAAGACTAAAGACAAGCACATAGGCACCATATTCTAGTTGACTGAGTTGTTTTCCATGGGGGTAGACTAGCAATTCTGATATCAACGTATAGTGGGATTGGATAATTAAGTAAAAAGGTGGTAGATGGTTGGAAATAGTCTTCTCACTGTTGGAGTGGAATGTTACCATTAAGCAAGGGGAAAGGGTTAGAATGATCCATGTGGCAATGGAGTAGAGCCAGAGAAATCAGTATGAACTCAGGTTTAGCTAATTATACATACAGATGGTTACACATAGATATAGCATAGATATGTGTATAATAGATTAGCATATAGTATATATAATATATATAGTATATATTTTTTATTTATTAGAGTGCCTAGAATCAATAGTCACATCTGGAATCCAGATTTTGGCTTCTAATATCAGTCTCCGATAAAAGAAATCAGGGATCCTTGGAGAAATGGTTGATTCCAGTAACAAATAAAGTCAATGAGTCTGAAGCATCTTGTAATGAAATAAAGTGAGGAAGCACTTGACAACAACAACAAAACTAAATCCACAGCAATGGAGTTGTATCAAAGGGACACAAGAACCAACTCAAAGAGCTTCCAATGGTCAAAGCTGAAAAAACTGAGCAACAAAATAAATAAAGTAGAAAGGAATTCTAACCTAAAGTACAAAATAAATATCCACAAGTCTATACTGGCATAAATTACTGATTGAATAAAATGGGGAAGTATAGGTAAATTTCACATGCAGAATAATTAAAATTAACATATGTAAATATTCTGCCCTCAAAGAAGTAAAGCATAACTGAAGTGGGGCCTACACATAATAACTTCCTTCCAAAAAGTATACTGGGGAAAAAGGGGAACCTAGAATAACTTTACAGAAAAATCTGACAAATGTTTCCTCAGGCTGGTAATTGAAGTTAACATCAACAGTGATGTTACGTTAACAGCACAACGTAATATAATGAAAATGGTCCACAACCCTGTGGTCGTCCTCCTAAAAACATATAATCTCAGTCTAATCATGAGCTAAATCCTATGGCTGAACACTCTACAAAATAGCTGACCAGTACACCTCAAAACTGTCAAAGTCATTCAAAACAAAGTCTCACAGCAAAGATTAGACTAAGAAAGCCTGAGGACTAAATATAATGTGGGCTCCTGAATGGGATCCTGGAACAGAAAAAGAACTTAGGTAAAAATAAAGGATATATAAATAAAATTGGACTTTAGTTAATAATAATGTATTAATACTGGTTCACTGATTATAAAAAAAACATAATACTAATTTAATTGGGTAAGTGGGTGTGGATATATAGGAGATCTTTATACTATCTTTTTACTTTTTCTGTAAATACAAAGTTTTGCTAAAATAAAAAGCTAACTTAAAACTTCAAGATTTTTTAGAGAAAAATATAAACAAATTAGAAATAGAAAGGGAATGTACAAACAAGAAGGAGGATTACTATTAAAAAACACATTGAGATTTTATGTCAGTAAAATTTTAAATCTTGGTAAATAGATACTTTAAAATCTCATTATATGGATATATTGCCAAGACTAACTCCAGAATAACTCGTCAACTGAAATAGAATAGTAAATATGAAAGAAGCTGAGAAGAGAGTCAGAGAATGTCCTCCAAGAAATTATTTGAACCAGATGGCTTTTCCAGTGAAATCTTTCAAAATTTTAAGGAACAGATAATCCTCATGTTATATAAGTTATTTTAAAGCATAGAAATAAATGAATAACCACCTCCACTCATTAGCTGACAAAGTTACATAATTGACAAAGCAGTTATACAAACATAAACACCTCTACTTCCACCTCAACCCCAACATCATAAACATATATTCCTATACATGGACATAAGCATGTAAACACACACACACACACACACACACACACACACAATTAATCTTACTTTATAGATATAAAAGTCTGAATAAATTCTGCCATTCAAATATGGTACAAAATAAAAATAGTCCTCCATAATCAAGAATATACCTTGATCTGTAAACATTAAATAAGTTTGTCAAGAAGTAAAAATCTATTCTAATTTAAATGACATTGAAAGGCATTCAACAAATTTCAAAAATAAGATTATGGTTCTCAGAATCATTCCTGAAAAGGACATAAAAATTAAGACTATTTTCTGGTGATGCATTCATAAATGAACAAGACCCAAAGCAAACATCTAAAGATAATTAGAATGAATAAAATAATCTAGTTAAGTGCCAAAATAGAAAATGTGAATAGTTTTTATTTTCTATATCATTAGCAACCCATTAAAAATATGATGGAGTAATAACAATAAAGAGAAATAGAAAATCTATAGATGACTAATAAATATATGAAACCTGCAAAACTTCCCTGATATATGAAATATATGAGACATACTGGGTTCTTGTTGATGTTGTCTAGTAATCTCTGGAATATTACTAATAATTTATTGAGCACTTACTACATGCTTTAGGGGAAGCAAGCTGCCATATTGTAAGAACATGTAGGCATCCTATGGTGGGGTTCATGCAGTAGGAAACTAAGAAATTCAGACAACAACCATGTTGAGTGAGTTTGGAAGAAGATTCTCTAGCTCTAGGACAACCTTCAAATGACCACAGCATTGACCACCATATTGACTACAACTTCATGAGTCAGAACCATCCAGCTGAGTGCCTCCCAGATGGCTGAAATAGTAACAGCAT